CTCGACAATGCAACTTCTACACCTAAGACTCAGGGAACAAAATGGAACGGGGGCAGAGAGAACACTAACGCATCTCTCAACGCTCATCAGCGAAGCTCCCTCATGCAGCAGATGGTGATTAACCCAGAAAGTCACAACTGGCCAAAGTGCAGAGGATAAGAGACACAGTGCTTGTCCCTGAACCAGACACCTAGATCGAACTTCTGTCCCTCTAGGCTCAGAGACCACTGTGGGAGAGGGGGTGGAGAGACTGTAAGAGCCAGAGGTGATGGGCCACCACAAGGACACAGTTTAGCAGACAGCTGGGAAGTTATTCATATGAACGCACAGCAATGGCGACAGCATGCACAAGACCCACACAATCAAGCCAGACAAAACCCCAGCATAGAATTGGGAACATAAGGAGCCCAACCTTAGCTGAGGAACTATTGGCAACTGATAAATTCAGGGAGAGGGAGAGTTGGTTTTAAGGGTGTAACACTAGATAGGCTCCAGTGGATGGATGCTCACTTGGGGACATTTGGGGACAGACACAAACTTGACTCCATAGGTCTTAATACATATTACAGAGTATGTGAAATTCAGTGGGGGTGGGACTATAGATAGGGTCAAAAGGGAGATTGTGCCAGGTAACATGGGGATCAGCCCTTAAAAATGTCAGAGGTTTGAAGAGAGAGAACTTCTTTTGCTGACTTTAAAGAAACAACTAACAATGTCAGGACAGAGCACACGTTAGGACCTCGCGATGGGCTTAGCTGGATGCAGGCCTGGCCAGTAGCCAGTAAGGAAATGACCTAGAAAAGACTAAAGTAGCTACAAATTCTGTCCACTACCTGTGTGGGAGAGAGCTTTGAAGAGCATCCAATCACAGATGAGACCACAACCTGAGCTAAAGCTTCTGTGAGCCAGGAACCCTGTTATACCGTGCTTGGAGAGTTACCTGCAGGCCTTTGTGATAACAACCATATTCTCCTTTAAATGCCAACTTGGTGTATACAGCAACAGACAACGAATACAGTCACCTTGGACAAGATAAAGTCCAGTACTCCCACTCTAAAATGAGGTCATAGGCACAAGTTACCAGCTTTCTGGTTATAAAACACTGTATATTTGTGATTCTGTGTAGATAAAAATCAAAGCTATCTCTGTGATGGTATCCGTCAGCAGAAACAGCACTTTTTGAACATGCAGCACCTGCAGACAGTAAGATTCCTTTGGCACACTGGCTTTATTCATATTTTAGGAATCCTCTGCCGTATGACTTTAGATCTGGAACATCTTGTAGGTATTTTGAATTGTAAATGACCTCCGGGAAGATGTACAAAGAAATACTTTTTTTACAGTGTTGGATGGCATGGTAAGCCATTGAGCAAGGTGGAGGGAGAAAGCTTTGAAGGTAGAGATTAGCGATGACCCATTTCTCAGTGCTGGCCAGGAGCAACACTGGGTGTAAGATTCAGTCTTGCAGACTGCTGTCTTATCAAGTCACCATGAGGATGAACCTGTGTTAGGGTGGGGGCTGAATATACATCAGGTGTGGGGACCAGAACAGCAGAGCCCGCCGTCCAGTGGGGGACCCAGCACCATGGAGCCCACCGCCCAGGCCAGCATCTTGTTGATGGACAAGTTGGTTTGCAAGAACTTGTCCCCTGCTCAGTCCATCAGAAGCAGATCAGGAATGTTAAGAACATTCTCAGGGCAGCTGCAGGTGGCTGTGCTGGGTCTCCACAATGATGGCCTGTCAGCAACCAGGAGTGGGTGGAGGAGGGTTGGGGGAAGGGGGGTTTCTCACCTCTGCTAAACAATTGGCTATGGACAGATTGAGGGAGGGGGATCATTGCCTTCAGTTGTGTACCCACTTGCAACTCCACCAGGTACCAAAGGACAGTTCCAATTCAACGGTCCCACAGGTGGCCCTAGTTATACTAAATGAGTCACAAGCCAAAAGCAAGTCATGAACTGGGAAAGGACTGGGAGAGAGGAGGGTGGGGAGGGGGTTGGCAGGACAGAGATAAGAGAGAGTGAGCGGAAGAGAGTAATCAAGATCTGGAATTTCAGGTTACACCCTGTGTGCCAGGCAGGGTTCAGCCACCTGTCCTCAATAAACCAATTAAAAGAGCCATATTAATAGTGGAAAACCAAACAAACAACGAAGAAAGGTGGCCATGTTGGGAAGAGGGGCAAAGAGGTCCAGTGAACCCCAAAGTCCAGGTCCTGAAGTGAGGTTGAAGTTTAAATAGTGAGCCAGGGACATGCACATCTGAGCGGTCCTGGTCAAGGGGTGGTGCTGCCCCCTCGCCCACCATTGCCCCCTCATTATCTGGGCTTTGATTGTCTCCTGTAAGGTGGTCTGACAAGTTGTTGGAACTGTCGAAAAGCTCCTCCTCTGGCTGGTGCTTTCTCTTCTCCTGGCATGAGATTTCCAGGAAAAATTCCCATCCTTTGGGATCCATTGTTTCAATGGCCCGATTGAGACACAAGTACCTTCTTAGAATTACAAGAAAACACTACATAAGTGTATGAAAAGGTCAAAGAAGAAAATCAATAAATAAGTTAAAAATAAACACCTAAATTAAAATGGTCTTGAACTATGTTTTTTTTAAGTCAGTCCATGAACTTATACCCCAGACATGTTTCATGTATGATTTTTTCCAGGACTGGTCAAAACTTGGGTGACTTAACAGAATTTATTCTGTCATATTACTAGAGGCTAGAAGTGGGAAATTCAGGACAGTGCTGCACTACCTCAAGAGGCTATAGAGACAACCGTATGTGACTCTGCCAGCGTCTGGCTGTCATTTCTGTTTCTTGGTGTCTTTGGGCCCCGTGTTACCGTGCTCTGTGTGCTGTCCTTTCCTCTCCAGTGGGTATATGTCTAAGTCCCCACACTGTTCTCTTATAAGCTTGTCTGACATCTGACTTGGGGTCTCCTTGTGCATCCCAGGATGGTCTCACACAGGATTTTTAATTACATCAGAGCCTGTTTCAAGTAAAGTACCAGTCACAGGTTCCACGCATCTACAAGATGACGTGGCTTTTTGGAGTCTGCATTCAACCCACTATCTATCACTGTTTATGTTGAATAGAACTGCGCTCCCCCTTCTCAAATTTCTCATGTTGAGGTCTGACTCCCTGGCATTCCAAAAAATAACACAACTGTCTTTGGAAATGTGGTTGCTACAGATGTCACTATTCAAATTAAAATGAGGACACGGGTGAGACTTAGTATGACTGACGTGAGAAGGAATGGGACCACAGATCGGGACACACAGGCATATGACGATGAAGGCGAATACTGGGTTTAATTTTCTGCACCCCAAAGATTGCCAGGAGATTACCAGAAGTAGGTAAGAATCAACTGACTCTCCCTCACGGTCCTCAGTGAATCAGCCCAAAGACAACCTGGCCTTGGGTCTGCAGCCCTCCTAACTCTGAGCTGATGGGTGCTGTGGTGTAAGTCACTCAGGATGTGTACTAAGCTGCATGGGCATCATCAGAGTTACCATTTCAAGTGCTGATATGCAAATATATCTTGTTTTTACAAGAATATTGCATTTTATCTAATGACAATCCACTGAAAGTTGACTATTTCCTATCTTTTTTACAAAAAAATATTTTATTATTTTTAGTTTTTGTGTATGAGGCCCTGTTTTTCAAAATAAAAAGTGGGCTAGGAATACAGCTCAATGGTAGAGGACTTGCCTGCCATGCCTGAGGCCCCAGATTCAACTCTAGGTACTTACTGCAAAAGAAATTTTAAAAATCAGTAGTCACGGAGACCATGGAAAGCAAAGTTACACATCTTGAGAGTAATTTAGCAGCACATTTATTTTGCTAGAGCTTTGGACCAAGGCTTTCCCTTTCTTAGAATGCAGCCAAAAGAAACACACAAAAAAGAGAGCTGTCTTATGGGTAGTTAAATGCTTATTACACTTTTATGCAAGCTAGGAAATAAAGGGGCTGGGGAGATGGCTCATAGGTTAAGGAAACGAGCTGCTCTTGCAGAGGACCTAGATTTCATTCGCAGCACCCACATGGCAGCTAACAGCCATCCCTAACTCCAGTTCAGGGGAATTTATTGCCTTCTTCTGACCTCCCCAAGTATTGCACAACATGGACGCACTTTCCACCCTCTAGCCACAGCACGTGAGTAGCTGTGGCCTCAGGTGTTTTCCATACCCTCTTACCATCCTTTGCCAGGGTCATTCTAAGGAGCTCACAGGTCCTCAGAATACTCTCACATCTCTTCTCAATAGAGAGCTAACTGTAGGTTTGTTTAGCACCACCCACTTCTCTTGGTTTTTGCAGTCACCTTGCCAATGAGCCCTGCTGTCTCTGGGCCACAGGTTTCCTTAACTGTTTCATTAAACAGATTCCAGGAGCAGAGAATTCAAGGTGAGTGCCATTTTTCTTAAATGGAGTTCATTATTTTGACTTTCATGATTTAAAATGTTTCTTTAATGGTATACCAGCTCTTATAATGAGAATGCCACCAACTTTTAGAGCCACAAACCTTCCTGGTGTCCTCAGTGCGCCTGCCTGCGCACTTGGAAGACCATTGTCCAGGGAACTGGGGTGGGCGTTGGCTGTTTTTCAGCCCTGGTGGTTGAACAGGGGCTCTGCTCTTCCTCTCCATCACGCTGCCTGCTCGGCAGCTCCAAAATTTCAGTTTAAAATGTATCAGTGACACAACAGAAATAAAGCAGAATGGAAACATCTACCAGGAGAAGAAAGACATTTTCATAAGTGCCACTGAAGACTGGGTCATCTGAGAAGTGCCCCTGGAGGAAGGCTCCCGCCAGCTGCTCCAAACCAGCATCCCTGATCCCTCCTCATCCCAGCAAGCTGGCAGAGCCCGGTGTCTACCCTCCAGACCCCAGACCCAAAGAACAGGAAACCACGCCTACAGTCCGGCCCACCACCCCGTATCCGTGGCACCCGGGCTGTTTAAAAGCCCCCCCTCCCCCCAAGCTGGCGTCAGAGCATCACCGCAGCACCCTTCCACCTGGAGGCTGGAGGGCGGGATAAATGGAGTCCAGAGTGCGTTCTGCCAGTGCAGTAGGGGAGTTCTCTCTCCTGCAAGGGATGGAATCGTAGTCATTCCTAGTCCGGCCCCCTTCCTCTCCTTTTCCACATAGGGGCGCCCTTCCCGCTAACTTTCCCCCACCCACCGATTGCATACGGAGGGGGACCCACCCGAAGCGCAGGCGATGCCATCGTGGGGCCTGCGCGCCCGCGGCCCTAGCCCGGGGGCAGAGGCCGCTGCTGGGCACCTGGAGGCGACTGGGAAGGTCGGAGGGAGGGTGCTCTCCTCCCGCCCCACACCCAGTCTCCGGAGCCGGATATATAGTCACGTTTGGGAGCTCCGAGAGCGGAGCGGTTCCTCTCGGCCGGAGAGCCTCCCGCATCCCCCGGAGGACCGACCGTGGCAGCGCAGCCCGTGGAGCCACCGGTGCGGGAGCACAGGTACCAGGGTCCCTGCGCGCCCGCGCGATGCGCCCGGAGGCAGCGCCGGCGGGAGGCCCCGGGCAGGGCGGGCGCACCCGGCGGGACCCGCCGAGGCTGGCTGGAGGCTGAAGGCGGGCGGGGGCCAGCCCGGAAGCGGTGGCCCTGCGGCTCCACGTCCTCCCTGGTCCTCCAGGCGCCCCTTGGGGAACCCGCCTCGGTGGGACGCGCAGGGATGAGCCAGAGGAAAACCAGGAAGGGCTGGGCAAGGTGAACGTGGGGACCGAGGGATAGAGGCAGCGGGCTGGTCCCACCCAGGCCTTCCTGGACTTTGGGGCTCTTCCTGGAGATAGCGCACAGATTCCGGGGACACGTGCGCCGTGGTTCCCTTGTGTCCTCTCTGGCCCCCGGCCCCACCCCAGGCTGCGCGTGTCCAGGCCCTCCCACTCCCCAAGATCGTGCACCCAGAGCCTGAAATGGATTTAAGGTGACCAAGTCTGTCCCTTGTTGGAAGTTTCAGACCTCCCCCTGCAACTTGAGCATCCTGGGGAGAAGGACAGGTGCCAGAGCCTTCGGCTAGGGCAGGTGACTTAAGGGAGGCTGCTCACACACCCAGCTCTGGGTGACATTACCCCTAGCAACTGGAGTCCCAGCAATCCATGCCAAACCTTCTGAAACCTCCTAATGCCTTCCACCTGCCTGGCCCGGCTCCTGTCCTCTCCTTGCAGGATGATGCCCATTTTCTCTGCCGTACAGTATTTACCGACTGTGAGCAACGGTTATCGCTAGATGTGCAGGACTCTGGTATCTTTTAAGTTAACGCTGAGTGCATTGTTGTGAACAAGGACCAAGCAACCAGGAAACGCAAGGGGGTTGTGTTATTTCTGCTTGTTAGCGGCAGTATCCCAAGTCGGACACTTACAAATGGAAACATGACACAGCCTGTGGTGCCCACAACCCACCTCTCTGTATCTTCATTTATATCAGCTGGAGGGTTGACTCAGGGCCATATTTACTCTAAAAGTCATAAAGCAGTCAGCCACAAACTGCAAGAGGACGTTGCCACAGACTTCACATTTACGGATACTAGGGGGTGTCTACAGAGGGCTGAGGTTTCTCCTGACCACTATTCCACGACTGTGACTTTCTCTGTGTTCTGAGGATCTATACCTTTACAGGACCCTTCCCCTGTTTTTGAGGGTGTCTTTCCCACCTTACTCCAAATTGTGACACGTGGGTTGCAATTATCTGTGAAATAGAAGCAGTCCACCTGGAGCTGGTGGATCCCACTGTGGCTAAAGGAGTGAAATACTTCCCGGAAGGGAACCAAAGTCTCCTGATTCCCAAACACCCGTATTCTCAACATCCAGAGACTGCTCAGGGGCCAGCTTTGTGAAGCTGACTCTGGAGTTGGACCAAGTCCTGCACCTAGTAGGATCTTTGGTTTAGACTTGTGCTGTCTTAACAAGAGGCTCCACATTTTCATTTTTCCCTGGGCCTCATTATACCCTGACCCCAAGTTACCACCCCTTCTCCACCATCCTAATTCAAGGCGAGCTTTCCATCCCAGTCCTGGAATTTACCTGTTTCCTTGGGTGCCTTTGGCAGTGGCATGAGGCCTCTCTTTAACTCAGTTCCCTCACTAGCATCAGCATATCAGACTATGCTCTGTTCTGTTTACCTTAAAGGCACTTGTGTTATGGGTAAAAAGAGATAATGCCAGGCATGGTGGCACTTGTCTGTAATCCCAGCACTTGGGAGGCAGAGGCAAGAGGGTTTCAAGGTCATCCTCACAGACATAGTGAGATCTAGGCCGACGTGGCTACATACAAACCTGTCTTTAAAAAATCGAGATTGAAAAAGAATGAGATAATAGTTGCAGGAAGGCCCACTGTCCTTGAATGGTCTCATGCTTCCCAAGATGACACTAAGGGTAGCATATCTACCCCAGGAACGTTCATCACGCTCCCTAAGGGGGTTATAGAAACTTTAGAGCCCCAATATTTAGGCAAAACAAAAGGTAGCTAAAGAGTAGGATTCGGTGTTGTTTTACTAATGTAATTTTATTTTTGAGAATTTCATACGAGTAGTGTATTTCTATCAGTGCCACTCCTCCCTCCCCACCTCTGATTCCTCTCATGCCCCCACCCCACTCCTTAAATTCATGCCCTCTTAATTATTGCTACACATATGTGTGTATGTGCATTATATATACTATATATAATATAGTATATATATTATATAGTTAATATTATATATGTATCTCCTACTGAGTCATTTAATGTTGCTTGTATGTACATGTGTTTGGTCCTAACCACTTGGGATTGGATGACCTGTCAAAGAGTTCATTCCTAAAGGAAACAGAGTCTCCCTCTGTCAGACTCCATGGATTGCCTATAGCTCTTCATCTAGGGCTGGGACCTTGTGAAACTTCCCCGGTCCATGTTGGCATGCAACAGTGCTGTCATCATTCAGGTCTCGTTCAGACAACCACATTGTTGGGACTTCGTGGCTGCAGCTTCCCCGTTACGTCTAGAAGACACTGTCTCTGCAGCTGGTGTCCTGGTCAAGTTTGAAGGTTTAGTATTTTCAAATATTTTTTAAATATTATGTGGACAAGACTGTAATAGCCAACTGAAAGTAAAGAATAACTTCTTGGGTCCCAAAGATACTTGCTAAGTCTAATGCTTGGGTCTAATTCACCCTCAGACTGGGCAGTGAGCCTGTGGGTAAAATTCTCTTTATCACTGTTACTGTCTTCGCATCATTTAATTTTGAGAATCCACATGTTCAAAATCTTGATGAAGTCACCTTTCAAATAGCTAAGAGTAGCCAATCAGTATCAAACCTACCTCATCCCTTAACAAGCTGCTCTGTGTAATTGCCATGCTGACTGAAGAGGAGCTGAGGAGCCCCCACCCCCTACCCCCGCTTCTCTCTGATGTTGGACTTTTCTGCATCTCACCTTTCCTTCTGAGGTAACGGCAACACACTCAGAACTTTTGAGGAACAAAATAGAGGGAAAGGAAATAGATCAAGATCCCACTTTAGGGTCTTATACTGCGGCCTAAGAGGGATGCGTGTAGGTGCCTTCTGTCCTAAAACCCCTGTGCAGGAGCATGCGAGTACTTTAGGATGCAAAGTACCAGTCCTGAGTGCGCCAAGCTTGTGACGCCATGAGCAAGACCCACTGTGTCAGTACGAGGTATGAATGTGCAATTGCAAGTCTCTGTAAAGCAGTAGGCCGTATGACTCCAAACGAAGTAGGAGGTAAGTACAGTAAACTCGCAGGTCCAGTCCTGAGTGCGCCAAGCTTGTGACGCCATGAGCAAGACCCACTGTGTCGATACGAGGTATGAATGTGCAATTGCAAGTCTCTGTAAAGCAGTAGGCTATATGACTCCAAACGAATGAAGTAGGAGGTAAGTACAGTAAACTCGCAGGAGAAGAAACTGAGCTGTCAAGGGAAGCCTAAGAGGAAAAGCCTGGGGATAGTCCTTCTGATTCTCATGCCAGTAGAGATGGCCTGGGATATTCTGGTTCCAGTAGAGATGACCCTTGAGGTTCTGGTCCCAGTAGAGATGATTCTTAGAATACTGGTCCCAGTAGAGATGGCTCTTGGAATGCTGGTCCCAGTAGAAAAGACCCTTGCTTTCCGGTTCCAGTGGATATGACTCTTTAGAGATGACCCTTGGGCTTTTGGTCCCAGTGGAGATGATCCTTGAGTTCTGGTTCTAATAGATAAGACTGTTGGAGTGCTGATCACAGTAGCGATGACCCTTGGTTTTCTAGTCCCCACAGTCTTGACGTTTTGACCCCAGCTGAGATGACCCTTGGTGTTCTGGTCCCAGTAAAGATGACCCTTGGCATCTTAGTCCCGGCGGAGACGTGTAGATGAAACTTTTGGATGGTAAATATGTGACAAAGGAAGATGCAGAAAGAGCTGAAGTTGACATGTGGGGAGGGCAGGAGGAGCCCTGGCACACAGGGCAGGTCCCACGGCCTCCCCATTCACAAGGTACTCAGTGTTTTGTTCTGTGAACTGACACCTGGCAATTTTTGCACATGTAAGGTTGAACAAAGCAGGTGTGTTCCTTGTCCTTTTGGAACTTACAGACAATTGCAAAATGAACATTTAATAATAAACGTGAGATGTAGTGTGAAGACAAGCAATTCATGACAAAAGATCCAGGGGATGGGCTGGGATTTGATGCTCTGGGAAGAGTCCTTTGACCAAACCCCCCTGCCCCCCCCAAAAAAAAGAAACATTTGGCTCAATATTTAAAGACTCATGGGTTGGACCAGAGAAGCAGTTCAGTCAGTAAAGTGCTTGGCTGGCAAGCATGAGGACCTGAGTTCAGTTCCCAGCACCCCTGTGAAAAGGTGTGGGTGTCGGGTGCATACCTGTAATTGCAGCACTGCAAAGACCCATAGATCCCTGGGTGGAGTTTGCACATCAGCTGGCCTAATTAGATTGGCAAGCCCCAGGTTCCAGGGAGACCCTGTCTCAAAAGGCTAGATGAATGACACCCAAGGTTGACCTCTGGCCTCTGCACACGAGCGTACATGTGCACACACACAAACAACCTCCCCCAGCAAAACACACGTGCACACACACACACACACACACACACACACAGAGCATAAGGCTTGACTGATGAATAGGCACAAAGCAGTCTGAGCAAGGACACAGATGTGGAAGTCTAAAGGACAGGAGACCTGAACTGTTGAATTCTTGTTGCTGGGCTGTTTCATGTGGGGGATAAGAACTCATGGGGATGTTGGGAGGTAGGCAGAGGGCTGAGCATTCAAAACTCCAGTGTTTCCTGAAGGTTTTGCGTTCTGTTCTAGTGGGAAGCCATTGAAGGCTTTTCAGCCAGAGGCTCTGCTGATTCATATATTAAAGAAATCTATACTGAGTCAACAAGCAGAAGGGACTGGAGGGATCAAGGACTAGAAGCAGGGAGAGTGTAGGGCTGGAGTGCTGGCAGCTAAGAGGCACAGAAA